TTCTTTATGCATTCTTCTTTTGATGGGTATCTGGGTTATTTCCATTCTTCACTATTGTAGATTGTGCTGCTATAAACATAGGATTAGAGGTCATTTCTCACGTGTATTTCATTTCCTTTGGATATATTCCCAACAGTGGGACAGCTGAGTCATATAGTAGATAATTTTCAGTTCTATGAGCACTTTCTATTCTGATTTCCATAGTTTCTGAACAAAAACAAAAGTTGCTTGAAATAAATGAAGGCATCAACCCAACATATCAAAACTTGTGAGACACAGTCAAGGCAGTGCTAAGTGAAAAGTTCATTGCAATTAGTACCTAAATAAAGAAACCAGAAAGGCACCAGATAAACGGGCTAACCATACATATGAAGGAGCTAGGTAAACAGCAAAAGAATTCCAAGATTAACAGGAACAAAATAACAAAAAGAAGGAAAAAATATAAGCAAAACAGAGACCAACAGAATTAACACATAGATCAACAATCAAAGAGCTAATTCTTTGAGAAAATCCAAAAAAATAAATTCCCCACTAGCCCAACTAACCATAAAAAGGGAATAAATACAAATCAATGAAATCAGAGAATAAAATAGAAATGTAACAACAGATACCTTGGATATACATAGAAAAATCAGGAGCTAATAAAAGCAACTATACATTAACAAATTGGGAGACCAAGTAGAAATGGGTCTATTTCTGCACATCTACAATTTATCAAAACTGATCCATTAGGTAATTAAAAATCTCAATAGACATAATCTCAATAGCCATTACTATTCAACATAGTATTCAACATAGTATTGGAAGTCCTCACCAGGGCAATTAGGCAAGAAGAGGAAATGAAAGGAATTCAAATCATAAATTAGGGATTAAAATTATTCCTGTTTACAGAAGACATGATTCTATACATGGGAGAATGAAAAGACTCAATCAAGAAACTATCTGAACTCTTAAGAGAATTTGACAGGGTACAAAATTAATTAAGATAAATTGATGGCCCTACTATATACAGATAACTATGGCTGAGAAAGAACAGTCTCTTTAAAATAGTAGAAAATAACCTTAAATACCTTGGAATAAACCTAATCAAAGATGTAGAAAAATTTAAAAAAAAACATTTAAAAAGAAACAGAAGAAGACATTAAAAGATGGAGAAATCAACCATGTTCTCAGATTGGTAGAATCAAATCTTCAAAACTGTCCCTATTACCAAAAGTAACATGCAGATTCAATGAAATCCCAATTAAAATCCTAACAATTTTACTCTCCAAAAAGGTGATACAAATATTCATTTATAAATACAAAAGGCTACGAATAGCAAAAGCTATCTTGAAGAACAAAAATCAAGCTGGAGAAATCACAAAATTCCAAACTCAAAACATGCTACAAGGCAGCAGTCATCCAAGCAGTCTTTACTGGAAGAGAAACAGAGATCAATGGAACAGAATAGTAAACCCACAAGTAAGCCCACACAGGTACAGCCAACTTATCTATAACAGAGAACTGAAAATGATTGGTCAGTCCAGGGAAAAAAGACTGGTCTCTTCAACAAATGCTGTTGGGACTATTGGAAAGCAACCTGCAGAGGTAAGAAGCAAGACCCCACCTCTCACCTTATACAAAAATCAACTCTAAAAAGATCAGGGATCTAAATCTGCATACAGAAACCATCAAACTATCAGAGGAAGGCAAAGGAAGCACTCTAGCAGATCGAGGCATTGGTAAAGATTTCCAGAAAAGTCGCCAAAAGCCAACATAACAAATAAGACTGCATCAAACTAAGAAGCTTCTGTACAGAAAATAATAAATCAACACAGTGAAGAAGCAACCAATAAAATGGGATGAGATCTTTGCATACTACACAACCAATAGGGGACTAATATCCAAGATTTATAAATCCCAGAGCTTCAGAAACTCAACAACAGCAAAACTAACAACTCTAGAAGGAATGTCTGAAGGAAATGAGCATGCATTTTTTTCAAAAGAACATATTCAAATGACTAATAGACATATGAAAAAATATTCAGACTCCCTAGCTGTCAGGGAAATACAAGTAAGAACCACACTGAGGTTCCATCTAACTCACGTGAGGTTGGCCTACATTTGGACATCTCGTAACACCTGCTGATGTGAATGTGGAGGTAAAGATATCCTACTCCACTGTTGGTGGGAGTACAGGTGTTGTGGTTTAATGCCATGTGGAATGCCCGTATTTCCTATTAGAGTGCATGGCACAAGTCATGGTTACTCTGTTTCCAATCCAGCATCCTGCTAAAGCACATCTTGGGAACCAACAGAGGACAATGTCAAGTACTTGGGTCCCACGTGGATGACTCGAATGGAGTTCATAGCACCTACTCCAACCTGGCCCAGCACCAGCTATTGCTGCAGAAATTTGTAGAGTGAAGTAGCAGATGGACAACCTCTTCCAGTCTGACTTTAGCATGAAAGAAAAAAAAAAGCAGTCTTTTTAAAACAGCGGTTCTCGGAGTCCAGGTGAATTAAATTTTCTCCTGTAGAAGAGCAGCTCTTCTAAGTTCACAGATAGCTAATCACTCATTTTCCTCCTCTTTCAATACTACTCACCAATCTTCCCTCCTTCCAAGCTATACAGCTTTGCCCCATTGGAAAAGAAACAAATCATCAGCTCCTACTGCTCCAAATGGCAGGTGTGCCGTTTGCCAAATGGTTCGTGTACTACCACACCCTGAACAGTGACTCTCACTTCATAATCAAAAGCCGTGCCCTCTAAACTGTCCATTTCTCAGCACAGAGTGCAAAGCTAAACAATGAGTTGCTAGATAAGCAGCCAGACCTAGCCTAAATGCACACATCTTTACAAGTGAAAAGTCAGGCTTCCTACTGTGAGACTGACAAATGGAAACCATTTTTTCACGTGTGGCAAAATCTATCTACCATACAGCATAAACTACAGATGTATAATTAATGTAAGTGGACGACAATGCCATTCTGGATCCCCAAGGTTTTATTCTTAACATTATCAAGGTCTAAATATTTTAGTGTCAGAATTAGCAGCAGATCTTCACTACAACTACTCTTGGAATTAAGTCACTCTTGGGCTCCATTTCCTCTCTGTTAATCTGAGGAGAGTCACCTGCGAGGCAGACAGCACCACCTACTTACAGATCCATTGGGAGAATCAAATGACTGATGTATTGAAAGAACTAAGCATTGTAGGTATAGACAACGGCAGAATGATGTGACACGCTTAGAAAATAAAATGATGGAGTTATGACTATTTTTGAAGGACTACATTGTTGTTCTACTGTAGAGGGAATCAGTGCGGAAAGAGATTTGGGGGAGGAGAGAGGGAAAGTCCCTGAGCCGATGGACCTGCATCATAAAGCTAAAAAATAATAATAATAATAATAACTAAGCCTGGAGCCCAGTACGTAGTAAGTGTTCACTGAAATAGTGAATCCATGCTTTCTAAATTTGTAAGTACAATGTACTGTGCAACGCGCCAATCAAAACCTCACCCACACATATGTGGCAATGTGCATAGCTAACTTTATTAGAACCTGGAAGAGATGGGAGTTGGAATTAGGGGTCTCTACATGCAGTCCACAGTTTGGCCCTAAAACTGACATTCCTACGAATCAGTCACTCTCAAATCACCACAATCTAATTTGAGGAAAACCTTGTATATAAATTGCCGTAAGTCCAAAGTCCTGTAAGACTCTATACCGAGAGAGTTAAGTACAGGATTAAGTTTTCCACGACTAGAAAAACATCGAAATCATCCTATATCCACAGTTACAATGAATCCAAATATACACATAATCAAATTTCAAACCTACGTATTAGTCTTACGCTAAATAATGGTAAGTGTTCTCAACTATAACATAAAGTGAAAACATATATGTTTAGTTTCATTATTGCATATTTTTAAATGCATTGATTAATAATCTAATGAAAGAGAAAATGAGTATATGTATTTGAGTATGAATAAATTAAACTGGATTATGAAACATGTAAAAGGTGAACATATATCAACATGGACTAATATTTATTTTTTACAAAATAAAATTCCACAGGGCATAACTAAAGAATGAAAAAGATTGTTTTAAAATCTCAAAGTTAAAATGCAGACTGAGTTTTAAGAAATATTTCTCCTTTAAGTACACAGAAAATCTAGGATGCTATAGAGTAAAGGTAACCTCTTTAAAAAAAAAAACAGGCTTCCTTAAATTTACATAATGTTGATAAATGTTGCTAATACAATGATTGGTCATTAAAATAAAAATCAGTCACATGCAGAATTTTGGTCTTTTTCTGATCAAAAATTCTTAACTTTCAGAAAAAAAATCCAAAGAATTAATATGGACATAGAATATAAGGCTTCTTACAACATCTGAAAATGAATGTTTCTAAAAATAATTTCTCTATTAAGTTTTAAAGTTATCTGAGGTTAAATGATTTGGTGCTTTAAATTTCATAAATGAAACAACCCAATTTCCACATAGTATTACACTGTTTAAAATTAAGCATTAGAGTAAAGTAGTCTTCAGTATAAAACCCAGCTAGCTTACAGTTTTGCTGAAATGAAATGGCCACAAAAGAAATATTGGATATATTTTGAAATTAACCTCACAAAATATAAGGTATCTCGCTTGATCATCTTACCTGAAGCAGTTTATTTTAAAACAATAAGAGCAACACTTGGTGACTAGCTTAAAGATAATAACAACTTTAGTGCCATACTCTCCTCTGCTAGCAGGAAAGTGTGTTGCTTAAACTGCACTTTACAAAACACATGTTTTCCTCTGTGAAAGTACTTTTCTGGATCAACTTTAATAGAGTAGTCTTGGGCTTTAGGAAAAAAAAAATTGTGAAATATTCTGCTAAAAGATAGACAGGAAAATTATTTGCATCTCCTTTAAATTATTCACAATACTTTGAGGCTTTCATTCTCTCCAGTTAGTGCAATTTATTTTTCCGTACGTCCCAGCAGCAAACAATGTTATTTAGACTCTAACCTGGCATGCTACAACCTCTGGCCCGCCCTTGAGCCCGTCCATTGCAAAGGTCTCCAGGTGCAGTTTGGGTAGCTGCAGGCTGAAGTCGTTCCTACTTGCTGCGGTCCGTGACAGGGAGATCTGATCTCTGACCTAAAGGGGGAAAAAAAACAGCATCAATGGTAATTCCCCTTCAGACACATTAACTGGGATGAACTGGGTCCCCTTGAGCCCACTGAGTGGACTTGCATTGATCGCTGGACCTGAAATCCATGAATAAATTTAGGACTAATTGATTTTTCGTTGCAAATAAATCTCTAATTCAGAGAGCTGGGGGAGAATGTTAAGAAGAAAAAGCATCCTCCTGCTTGAAATGAAGGAGGGGAAGAGCAGTCACTAGAGCTCCTCTGATCAAGAGGTTTTGAATTATTTTTTTCACAGTTATACCCTCAAAAGAAAAAGGAAAGAAAGCAAAACCACACACACACACACACACACACACACACACACACACACACACACACACACACACATACCCCACACACACCCCAAGCAGTAAACTCCTAATAATTATCACATTCTTAACACGTTCAATTTAAATGATATTAACTGACACATAATGGGGAAATATAGCTACTATGCACTAGTTGATGAAAAGAAAATTTTAGTGATACGTACAGTGAATAAAAACAAATATGCTCAATATATAGGCATACTTAAACATAAATAAGAGGTTTGTTTGCCCTGTCCCTGCTTCTAAGTTGCCACATTATATTTAATTAGAATCATAACAATAACATAAATATAAACCAACCTGGTCACACAGGTTGTATATAAGAGAAGAGAAATAAAATCAGCAGTATTCGTACTATGTTTTAAGTATGCAGAAAGATAACAATACAAGACCATCAGAGAGAGCAGAAATGCCAATTCTCTAGCCACCATGGACTCAAATGCAGTTGATATCACACTGCCACCTTCTGGACAAATTAGAAGATATTCCCATAACTGTAAAATAAGAATAAATAAATATAAACACTCAAAAATAGACATTTTGGCTTTTACCTTCAAAACTTAAGTCAAAGCCTTAAGAATCCACATCTAATTTGAATTTAATGTCAGTAAGCTCTCATTTTAAACATGTCTTAATGACAGGAGTTTTCATATGTAGGCACATACTTTATATATGTGTCTATATTTTTTCATGCTACAGCTCCTTAGGCTCAGGGAGCTCCCTGTCCACCATCCCAACCAACTTGCCCCCATTCTGTTCCCCTGCACTGTAACAAAAGTTTAGTCTCAGTATCTGTCACATTTTAAAAATTTCATTATGCTGGAATAGGTTTTTAAAATTTAGCTCTCTGCTACCACGTATTTGGTATTATATAGTTGCCTAAAGGCTAGAGGGAAAAGAAGAGTCCTTATGAGATAGCAAAGATCAATAACACGGATAACTATAAAAACAACATTAATTGTGCAAATAAATGTATTTTCTAGGTCTAGGTTTTCACCTGGCAACTAAAAATGAGCCTTGGCAATAATAGAAGGTAGGAAAAGCTAGTGTTTGTTTTATTTTTATTTAGCCAAATGATAAGATTTTTGAGTTATTTTTAATTATGTGTCTAAATTACCTAATAAGTCAATACATTTCACAAGACTATCAAGCTCAACAGTTTCTTCAAAACACACACACACACACACACACACACACACACACACACACACACACACCCACCACGGCATCTTTAACTGTATATGCCAAGCCATGGATATAAAAATCCTTATATTTCAGAAATTGATCCGAATATTTTTTCTGCCAGGAAATGAATGTCAAACTGTATATAGGAAAACAAATATTATAATGCAATTTTTATGAGTTTTTATAATTTTATGAGTTTTTATAGGGATACTGGTGTCCCAATTCAGAATGTGTATTTATGTATCTATCTGTATCTACATATACACATACACACATAGCATACACATTTCTCTATGATGTAAGTATCTATAGACTTACATCTAGAGTTAGAATTCTCTAGTCTTCAGTCGGGATGTGAATACTAAATTCAGCATAACAAAATAAATCATACTTTATAAGTATATCTGCTTTAAGCCTTATATTCTGTATGTATGGATATCTCTGCTCTCTTGCTTTTCTGTCACGGATGTGCACTCAGATAAAAGAAAACATTAATGTGGATTAAGGTACCAAGAATTTATCAGCATCAAACCACTAGTGTTTTGCCTTCTACCCTTCTGAACCATAGTCAATAGATGTAAATATTTTACTGCACCCTGGCCAATTCATTGTTTGATGTTTAAAAACTCACCCAGAATCAAAGAAAATTTATTAAATTTGAGCCCCCAAATGAGATACTATTAGCTTTGAAAGTCAAGTTTAACTGCGATATTGATGATTCTCTTTTTTCTGTGACAAAATTCACTAGGGAAATCCTGGATGTCAAAGTACAAAAGCAGATTGCTAAAAGAGGCAAAGAGGGGGACCACGAGTAGTGCAGGTAAAATCCACAACACAGTGTGAGCACGAGGCTTCCTTCACCTGATTAACATCAGCACCACACTCCATGCGTGAAGCTTGACACACAATCAACCGCAAGCCACATACCACGTGCTCTAAATAAACTGTATGACAATATGATCCTGGGCAATTTGGCATTTAAAACTGGGATACGTTGTTAATTGGAGATTCCCCATTTTAACTTGCCAAGTCAAATAGTTCTTTGTGTTAAATGAGAGGACCTTCACAATGCAGCTGCTTTTGCTGCAGCTAAAGAGGGACACCACAAACAGAGCATCATTTGAACAATACCCGTGGTGAACCATTTCACCTAATGAAAACTTACCTGCTGAATGTGCTACCAAGAGACAGTGACTCGTCACTTAGAGTAAATATAATATCACAAATATTTCTGTAAAAAACAAGATACTTTTATCATTGTAATTCACACTGACACTTAGACAGCAGGCTTCTAGAATGTTCTCCAAGCAATCCCAGAAAGTTTGTAGAAAAGCCTTGAAAATGATTGTCTAGGAGTTCTTTTATTTTAAATGGTAAGGGGAATAACAGTATCATGGGACATAAAACAGAAACACTAGAACAAATAAAAATGTAATGGTGCTGCAAAGGAGTATGATGGAAAGATGACAAAAAAAAGAAGAAAATCAGGAGTAGAGGAAGGAGACTGTTGGAATGCAAGCAGAGGAAGGCAGTGTTGAATTTCAGAGGGAACAAGCAACAACAGGCAAGAGAAGCAATATAGAACTGCACAGAAGAATTCTCGTCTTGTATTCAATCTCCTCATAAGAAGGAAAAAAAAAAGGAAAAACAGAACAAACAGTCTGAGAACAAAGTAAATAAAATATAAAAGTAGGAATGATGTGGATTTTAAAAAAATAATGCCCACTGGATACAAAAATTATTCTTTTCAGGAATGTACATCTAAAGCAAATTCTTTACTTTATTAGAATCCTGAAAATTATTTCTTCCTCAAAGGAATTGAGGACCTAAAGCAAAAAACCCTTACCATTAAACAATTTTTGAAGGAATATTTAGATGATAAAATTATTTTAAAAAGAAAAAGCAGGTCCTTTAAAGTAAAAATTTGGGAATGAATTAAAATTCAAACAGTCATCAGCCACCTTTCCATTAATTTGAACTTCAAATGTCAGTCTTTAAATCCACTTAGAACACATTATTCAACCTTTTTCACTTTACCACAGGTAAGAATTTGTATCTTTTTCACTACTTAACATTTAACAACATGTGTATGCAATAATTTTCTACTTCAAAATACCTAATAGTTCATTTGAACATATATTGGATTTTTCATAAAATTTTACAAAATAAGTATGCTTATAAAATTGCATACACTTTGCAACATGGTATAAAATTGCTCAGTTTTATATTTTCAAAAAGAAAAAGAAAAATCCCTTCATTACTTTTACTCTGAAATTACTCTTTTAGAATCAACCATTTACTTTCTTCCTTTTTAATCATATATATTTAGGAAATAGATTTCTAATAAAGATCTCATAAGAAAAAAGTGTGCAACTAAAAAAAACCAAAACTTTGCAAAAGGTAAAAAAAAATCTTGAAACACACTTATCTCAGAATAAATGTTTAAAGATATTTTATTTTAAAAATGCAGATTAGAAATGCCAGTCTGTTCTCTCACTCTACTTTTACCATAACACAAATAATAGCTATTGCTACTGCTTATGTTGACCATGAAGTTAATCATTTTTAGAAAAAAATCACTTTATTTCCAAAATGTGAACCTCTGTCTTTTATCATGCAGAGATATAAATTCCTCTGGACTCAAGGACATAATGTTAAAAACACAGATTCATGAATGAGTTGCCAGAATAGGTTAGGGTTGCAGGTAAGAACTGAAATAGAGTTACAACACGAGTAAGATGGACATAGTGCCTGAATCATGAATGCCTGAGAAAAACAACTGGAATAAGGACTTTCCATCAGACCCTCAATTTGCCTAAAATTTTGTTTAATCTAAGCTATCGTGGTTTCCAAAACTTCTAACTAAATCACTTTTCTTAGAGATATTCCAATGCAAATACAGACCTCTACAGTACTCCCTTTCGCCTCTATTCTCACCCTGTGTTCACGCTGTACCTTGCCTCCCCTTTGTAGCCTTCCGTTGCCCCACTCCTTCCTGTGCATGTCTGCTTGCACTGATGCCTTATTGCCTTCCCATCTCCCTTTTATTTTTCACCATGGATGCTAAATGCTGAGCCTCCATGTCATTTTTCAATGTACAAACACAAAAACAGTTCCCAGTCAGCCCACGACAGCCTGAGAATCAAATCCAGGGTAGTGCCTGTGATTCTACATAAAGTTTTATTAGATCACAACCACAATTTTCCCTTTACCTAGCGTCTGTGGCTACAATCACGACAGAGTTGAGTAGTTGAAACAGAGACCAGTCCACAAAGCTGAAAAGACCATCTGGCCTTTTACAGTAAAAGTTGACATCCCCAGTCCCAGAGGTATGGAAGGAAAGACAATGTTTGTCATCAGTAATGGCTGGTTTTTGTTTTTTTTTTTCATTACTACACCTTTGCAAGTAATCTATATTGTTTAATAAACAACCTCATAACACAAACACAAATGG